AAAAAAAATCCTTTTGCATTACTAAATTCAAATAGTCATAATTCATTTGTTTCTAGATACATGTATAAGATTTTTTAGAAGAATATTTCAACAAGTTTCAGAAAATAAATTAAATGTTCGAATTTTTAAAAGTTCAACTACACAATGATACATCCACCATAAATCATTGCTATTTATTTATAGTAAAACCCAAGATTCTATAAGATCAGGTTACTTAATTTAAAGTTTAAATAACTTTAATGACTCTAACTAGTTTTCGAAAGAAACTTTTCCCAATTTATACATTCCACTCCTTTATAACTAATAAACCAGAAAATAGACTGACAATTTTATAACGTTATGTGATACGTGTTACGTTAAACTTAATAAACTTTAATGACGTTCAGATAAACGCAGGGGACAAAGACAGTAAAATAATTGTATGCAATTGAATACTGTCCGTTCAATGTCATATTTATTGTCTGCAAAAATAGATGCCGACGACCAAAAGGAAATCCTGTAGGATTTTGTATTAAATTAAGCTGATTCTGATTGTTGTGAAACGAGATTCGACTAATGAAAGAAATTGAGACCAAAATTGCAATCGGATGAACACGAATTCTCTGAAATAGAAAGAACGAATGTTAAACTATCGGCTTTAATTCGACTCAGTTTTCAATTATGCTCCATCTATGTTTCAGAAAATTACATTCAGTTTACTGCAATAGCCGAATGCAGTAGGCATTGAAATTCTATTTCTAGTGACGTTATATTCGCCTTTGGTATTTTGCCCCAGCTAATGAAAGTTAATGCTCATAATTTACATTTACGTTCAAAAATGCCTATTATATCTGACAAATTACAGGGTATTATTAATCAAACGTCATAATTAAACGCAATCTAATAGTAATGATTTCAATTACCCTTCACATCTAGCCCAATAATAGCAATGATTTCAATTACCCTTTAAATCTAGCCAAGAAACCCCAGTAGCGATCGATAAATTATGAAATATCCTTCGCCCGTAACAAAAGGCTCGCTGAAACAATATTTCGGTAATAATCATCGACAGCTCTGTGTCGCGAAATTATTCGATTCCAGCGTTTGCGGTTGTACACGATAATTTTCCAAATCCATTAACCACTATTCATAATTATAGCCGAGGGGACCTGCTCATTTCTTGTGTTGTACACAGTGTTTATAATAGATCCCGTTTAGACTGGCACGGTGAATCAATTTGCAGTCGGTCGACTAAATCCCTCACGGATAATTCTTTTATATTCAGAATTCCGTGTGTTATGTCACACCGCCTCTCCTCTTTATTGTTTAAAAAGAAATATGGACATAGAAACATCATGCTACCAAACATTTTCTTCTTTAACTATTTAGCCACTAAAATATTCAGCCTAAAATATTTAACTTTTTAGCCTCTTTCTTCCATTTCTAGCCATTTTTTTCAGTCTACTTTATTCTTCAGCCTCATACTAATGACGACTCAAGCAACTGTTCTCACTTAAATCCCTAGCATTTCCAATTGTGTACACGTTTCAAATTTACTTTTCACTTTTTGCAACTGATTTCTACTAATTTTTCTTATGTCTCTGATACAGGCAACCCCTGTATAGCGTAATAAGATAGACGGAAGCTAATTGGATCAAAATAAGAGTTCAGACCATATTGTTTATATTCTTATGGAAACGAACATTTCGATTGTTCATATTGCGTCATCCTTATCACCCACACCCAATCCAATAACCCATCAATTGTTGATGCGAATGCGAACGTTATAAATTTGGTGTGAATCTAAATTACGTAATCTGCAATTTAGTATTTAAAATAGAAAAGTAAGTTTGAAATTTCAAATGTGTTTATTATTATTAGTTTATATGGTGTCCAAATTTGGTATTTCATATACTTTAGATTATTATATCATAATTCGTCTATGTATCCTATTCAATTTAAAGTCCTTACGTATAGGACTAATCGGATCACGTCATTTGGTGTGAATCGGATCACTCCTTTTCTTCGTTTGAATATTTTTATGATTATAAATGTGATAATTATTTATATACAGATAGTTCGTAAGTACATTAAAAAGACCAATCAAGGTTCATGCTGTCCAGAAAAAATGAAAGAAGATTACATACAGTGCAATGTCTGCGAACAGTGATATCACGAGAATTGTGCTGATAGAGGTGGTGTTAAAGGACACTATACTTGAGTCCTATGTACCAAGTAGGGCCAATTGACCCCATTATTATTAAATTATATTTTTTTAAATTAATTTAAAGACATTTTTTATGAAATTTGAGTCTTTTCGTAGATTTCTGGATTATCGAATATTTCTCACTCTTTCGTTTTTCAGTTTTCAAGTTTTTTTTATTTTTTTATTATTACTGTTCAAGTTAAATGTGTACTAGCTACGAATTTATAATACACAATTAGCTTTCTAAACTTTCACTATTATTTATTTACTATCAAACAGAAAATGATCCAATTCTCTCGCGGTTTCGCTTAACATAGGAAATTGGGAAAACCTCCAAAAACACGATATGTCTACAACACAATTTCGCATCTAACACAGTTAAAGTATAGCGTAGTTTTGTTAGTTTTTGGAACCTAACCATGTTTTTTGTATGGGAAAGGGTCTCCTACCACTTGGTAAACTTATTCCAGGTAGTGAAATAAATGTTAAATCGAATGTTAATTTGGCATACATTTCAGTAATTCCAAATATCAAGTGGTAGGAGGCCTTTCTCTTGCGCCACTTTTTCCCCTAGTAGAAGCCGAGTTTGCTCGCGGGTGTACATACCTACTAGTTCTTAGTTTCATGTAACAGGAATTCGCACAACACATCAATGTTTACGAATTTAACCACCGTGTAATATGAGGGTTATTCGCTGATCTTTTAAAAGGATAATGTCTGATGTCGTCAAATGAAACTCTTTCACGGTATACATATATTGGTAGCTGGGTCCGAGCAGACCCGTTTGTCATCCAACTATAATTTTAATTATATTCAATGTTTAACTTTGATGTCGTCCGTCCCTTAATCTGGTGACTGATTGAACGGTAAAATCACCCGTCGACACACTGTCGATGCCTGGTAGCTAACGTGTTGAGCACATAGGAAGCGAACTATTTTGCGGTCTAGTTTAGTTTTAATAGATCATTCCGGTAGGTCCACGTGCAATTCAACTATTAAGTCATCCCATAAGTTATGCGGCCGTTCTGTGACGCGAATTTAAAGCAGTGCATATAATACAATGCAACCCTGTCTTATCTGTTCGCTATATACGGGGTGTTCCGTTCCGTTTCATCATTTCGAACGCCCTCTATATCATCATAAAAAAGGACACTTTTATTTGAAAACCGCTAAAAAGTTTTATTCAGAAATGTATTTTACATCATTAAATTCAACACAAGAAATCATGCATGTAGGATAAACGCATCACCGAATAAACACTCAAGAAATTTTGTAACTATTCAAGTCGAATTTTAAATAATAATAATATTGATAAATATTCGACACGTTAAAATTAAATTCGTTAATATCTATATCTTTTTATAACGTACCGTTGAAGTATCGGACAGTTTGAAAAATTGGAAAAATGTAATTAATTAAACTAAAAAGGAAAAATATAGATTTCATCAGTGAATGAACAGTATTAAGTAAATGAATATTTCTAACCAATCAATGGCGCGAAAATTGTGTGAATATGACACAAGGAATTGACAAAAAAAGATCAGTATGTGATCATTCGCCTGTTTTAATAACTTAATTGACTGGTTTTTGTATGTAACGTTCATTCAGTGCTACATCCACCCTATACAAATTTTCGAAATTTAATCTGAAAAATTCCTGATTGATGGTTCTCGTCTGAATAAGTACCCTTTCTTAAATAGAAACCATAAGACAATGATAATGACGTTGCAACTACATACTCGGCCATTGTTCACTATGAATCGATCTCTACGGAACTCATTTTAAACTTTGGAATGCATCCACTATCGTTCGCCTCTGATGCAACCACTGTAAAGGACAGTCGCGTGACGAAGTGAAATCTACAAAAGAAGTTTGTCTTGGCTCTCGCGAAGCTAGTTCAAATGAGACGTGTACATTTTCCGTAAATAATCGAGGGAGTATTACGTTACAGGTGTGACTGTTGCTGTGCACTGCTACCGATCTTGACTGTGCAGCGCATTGTAACCAGATGCAAATATATCCTGTTAATTACCAACTGTTCCCTCTGCTTTGAACCTGTATCTGATAGACAATGTATCTTGGACTGAACGTAGGAAAATAGGATCTCAAACGTCCTAGCATGTTTTAAAACATATCGTGCAGAGAACTGCGGCAATAATTATCTCATTATTTGACCTATTTTTTTCATTGTTATCGCATGCCAACCTGTTTTGGAATGTCTACCTTTGAGTGACGTGTTCGTTGCTTTATTTCTTTCGAGAGGATCGATGAACACTTCGTGTGGAGAGAATTTTTAATGCTTGAGTTATTTAGATTTTTAATGTAAGATTATCTATATTTGCTTTTCTTTTGTAATCTAGAAAGGTTTTAATACGATTTATCTAATACAATGTTATTCAGGTCATTGAAATGATATTTTGCTTCAAGTATATTGAGATATTAGAATTTTGAGATACTAAGATACGATATTATTGAGTTTCTAATTCTGATATTGAGAAGAAAGCATGATTAATGTAGGTGAATAATTGGGTAAGTACTTGGATTCTCGATCACATAACTCTTAATCGTTGCTCACATAACAAGAAAGTCGAGTAATTAATTATTTCTGTACTGAAGTAATTAAGTATTTGAAATTTCAGCATATTCGGTTCAGCTTTAAAGTTTGTCTTTAGCTTTTCGAGTTCAGTACCTAGCACAATATTCCATACTCCATTTACGAACTGTTCAATGATTCCTCTCTCTATTGTCAGCAATTTATATTTAATTAATCGATCACCTGGCTACTCCTTGAATATCAATTATGCATGATCTGCAGTGCGTAGAACGCTGAAGAACGGCCTCTCGGAAGAGGAGAAGAAGCACATCGCCGCCTACATCAAGGGCTACTGACTGTGATAAAACTTGAAACCTGTAAACTCGTCCGTAAGAAGAGAGGAACAAGCAGCACGATCATCGAACCTTTTGATCGGACGTTGACGACACGGCCAGAGATATCGCGATTCCAACGGAGGCGCGACCCAACGAACGTTGCGAGAAATGGCGAGCGTCCCGATGAATCGCAGAGATTACACCAAGGTTACACCCTAAAAGAATTACACACATATATATATAGATACATATACATATATTTCAATCGATATTTCTGTATGCTGACAGAAAGCTAACGTTTTTATGAAAATAAACACCCCGGGGCCTTGGATTCTAGTTTACAATCTTGTCACGCTCTGTCGTTCGTTCTTCATGAGAAATGAGTACTAATTGTAAGATAATGGATTGCCTGAATTAAACGTTTTTAAATTACTAAAAACTGCGAACTCTCGGAGGCATAAATAAAAACTATTTTCGAGTATGTATATGTATACTATTTTGGAGTATTTCGTTCAATTCAGGCAGACGTTCGATTAGTTGAGCGGGTGAAAGTTGGAAGTTGAATTTACCAATGATGTAGAATACGAGCAAATAATAGTAACTGAAATTGGTAATTAGCCAGAATGTTCTTTTAGTAATAGTTTGTATATACAGACACTTTCAGCGGTAACATCCATACGAATTTCTACATACTAAAGCAGGGGTTGGCAAACTTTTGAGACGGAAAAGCCAAACCTGTCCCTTACAGCAATATAAAAATTATTTCAGAGCCATAAATATATTTTTATAAATAACGAAAATTTAAAGTAACATTATAACAAGTTTTAATATTAATTATATCTTTATTAAATGAAGAAAAAATCTTAGAAAAATTGCTCTCATTGATTGTATTTTCATTTTTAATTCTACTTCAGAGTCACATGTAAGTAGGTACCCAAAGAGCCCAGCATTTGGCTCGCGAGCCGCAGTTTCCGACCCCTGTACTACAGGAGAGATAATGTTGGAAATCTCTTATTTTATGTGATAAAAGTGCAACCGAACATTAGACAAACATGTTCAACGTGACGAAAAATGAATACATTACAAAATTGATAATTTAAGAATTATTCAAAAAAAAAGAAAAAATAGAAATTTTAAATACAAATATACATTTTGTGCACATATCTTTAACGTTCAAATAGGTATAGTCTGCGACTATTTGAAACGAATCGAAAACGAAGCATGGTTTACAGTGAGGCGATTTACTTCCAAAATCTCGTTCCACGCGACTTCCGGTGGTCCGCGAGCGTCACAGACAAGCTTACTGAGGGCAGAAAAGGTTCCGCATCGCGGGCCGAATGCGACAACTTTGAAACTTATATCCTATTCATTTTTCCCAAGCGGAAGAAAGGAAAACAACGGTTGAAAAACTTTACGGATGCATCTTCCGCGGTGACAGTCTTGCAGGAATGAACGCTTGCACGCCAGAGTCGGATGATGTTTCCCGGGGACGACCCCTTGGATCAATTCCCCTTTGCATGTTGCATGAAATGAAAATGTTATTAAAGTTCGCAACGGCGAAGCTACTTTATTCGACGCTGGTCTCTGACGCTGATCACGGACACACGGATGTTGAACCCTTAGATGCATGAGTCGTCCAAATATAATGAAACATTTTGAAACTACCAATTCATGGGTCACTTATTTTTTTTGTTTTATTTGGAAAAAAGTTTTGTTGACAAATAGCTGTAACATGTTTAAAACGTGTAAAGAATCACAAACAAATTGTAAAAATTTCTTTGTAGATATATTGTGCAATTCTATACTTTTTGCATTTTGTATACACATTCCCCTTTGCATGTGGGTAATTTACACTTCATTTTTTAATGCTCAATTTTAAGCTAATATGCAGTTTGATCTTGCTTCTTTTTATTGACAGTTTATTTGAGGACAAATGATTACGCCGATATTTTACACCGTTTAGAATGTATACACTCGAACATGCCATGCAGTAAATGTTTGTTCTATCTATGTTGTGAAATATAGATATGTTGCCAAATGGCAACACTATGCATTTAAGGGTTAAAAACTGTAAGTATGGCTTCGTGAATTGTGTTTCTTGATCATTTGAAAGACGCTTTCTAATTTTATCTTGGCGAAGTGTAATGTGTTCTTATTTTCATTGCGTAAAGTTTACGAGGGTAGATGAAATTGAAGTTATGTGACGTTTAAATTTTACGATCAACGGGGAAGAACCTTTACATCCATCCGGTGACTGATTGGATGTAAAGGATGGTTAACAAACACGGATTTCGAGTGAATTCGTTCAGAATAAGTAAAAATTGTCTGACTAGGTGACAGGAAGGTTATGGTAATGATGAATGGTGAATATACAGGGTATTTCTGCAAAAAATATCTACCATCCGTTACGTGTATTGTACTCATTAATAAAAAAAGTTGTGTAAAGATAGATCCACAAGATCGTAGTTCTTGATCGTGAGGTTTAATTTAAACGATACTAAAACCGAATTAAACAGTGTGGTAAAAGTAAAGTGGAAATCTAAAGCAGAAAAGATGAAAGAAGGTAGATCGAGAGATCAATCAAAGTTCAATGAAATGAAGAAGCAGAACTACACATATTGGCTGAAAGAAGTGAATAAGATAAAAAATAGAAAATCTTTTCTTACTCTGAAAGGATTAACTTCTAATACTGTATGGACTAAACTGAAAAGCTTTTGCAACACTATAAATTGTGTGCACCAATCTTCCGTTGGTGACACAGATAATTCTTAATCTTATACGTATGAAATAGATCTGATCGTCAAGTGTGTAATTAGAGGATATTTTCCTTGAATGTAAGTCGATCAGCGATCACATTTTTACTTTTGATAAATGTACAAAGAATCGTTAATGACTCGTGCAGCGTGAAACGCGTTGAGATGTAATACGATCTATGGCGGACAGTTTGAAAATGAACGATGGTAGCCATATTGTCGGCCGCCTGTTTACAATTAAAAGTTCGAACGACGGAGACGAAGAATAGACAATCGTGTCAACGTGTGCCTCAAACGACTTCTAAACCATCGGTGAATATTCTGCTTTCTCCATTAATGTTGAAAGAAAATGAAATGAACCATGTCGAAGAATATTTTTAAGACGACTTTATAACCTCGTAAGTGGAATCGTATTTGTCGTACGATACGAGAGGAGATCGCTCGAGTCTGCGATCAAACCGATCATTGTCGATTGCGTACGTAGGGAATTTCGATATCTAGACGACAAGAATTTTGCGAAACGGTGTGATTTGTCCGATGAGAGGAGCAACTTAATTAACTTAATCATCACGTTTATTAGTCGCGTACTACGGCGCCGCGTGTACGCGTAATCATTGTAATTTACTGCGGATATGAATTGAAATAAAATTGCGAGCAGCAACTGTGTATCATTCATTTTGCGTCTGCTTTTTACCCCTCCCGTTTCATTTACAGTACCTATTTGCGCGATCGACGCTTCGGATATTGGAAAATACGGATATCGAAGTTTGCGTTGGAAATATTTATTTCACTTCGTAATGAAGTAAAAGAAATTGTTTTTTGTAAACTCTGGAAGCATATGCAGAGTCACCTGTTTGATACCTATATTAACTCGGGAAATTTAAATTAAACCCATGTATTTTTTCCGTTAAAGTCTTTACTGCGTTAAGAATAAAATAGAAAATTTAATAAAATCTATCAATTTTTTTAGCATGGTTTACTTGACTTAAATGTTTATACGTATTACGATGCCTAAGCTAATTATTAAATTGTTACGTATGGAGAATAATTTTCATTTTCAATCGTATTCAACCGCGCGCCCAGCAACAGAAAACGCTCTAAAACTCCGTTTGTTTATTCCTCGATTAATAGGGGGAGCGTAATCTCGACCAACTGGATAGCAACCAGAGACAGAATCATGATTCACTCGCGACTGTTAAGATTTCCTTGTAAGGAAATTCTAATGAAACCCCACCCAGTTTTGGGACTATATAAACCCTCTAATTTTAACCCTCCGTGGGCCAGAACAGTACAGTCACTTGTAGAATCACGACGTATTATATCCATTAAAGAGTCGACGTATCCAGTGAGAATCGGGCTTAAGTTCCCTTTCGAATAATCAGTTAACCATCTGGAATCCGCGAGTTCGATTAAAGTTCTATTCGGTATCCGCTCTTAGTCCCCGCATTGCCAGTGGTTCAACATCGAGCATTTAATTGGTAATATTACAACACTTAATACTTTACCGCGACAACACTACACTACACATACTTATACCAAAGACTGATTGTGTAATATTCAAGTAACATTCTTTAATAAACGTGAGTAATTTTATTATTAAAATTCATTGGTTTAGTAATCGTTATAGTCGTAGTTGACCTTTCCCACACGATACAACTTTACCGTTCGAGTTATATTTAAATTTATAAAACGAGTTACGAGGCTTAAGGGGTCATGCTCAGTCAGGAGGCCGAAAAAAGGGTGTTCTTTAGGAATTTTTTTCTCGAAAACTATAAGACCTTTTTCAAAAAATGTGTTTGTGTTTCAAAGATTGTAGTGTCTAGATTATAAGGTAATTTTTTTATTTAAAAATATTTATTAGTAAATAAATGGTGAGCGATCTCCCGGATGTCTCTTCACTAAAAGTGGTCTGCCGTGATCACTGTAACTTCGTAACGGTTCATCTGAAATTAAAAATGCAGTAAGATTTATGTAATGGAAGAACCAATCTTGTCCTTGAACGTGGAGTTTTTCGAAATATTGATTAGGAACAAAATAGCGGACGTTTTCCTGAAAAAGTGCGATTTTCATCTAAAAAATCACTCGTTTTTGGTCAATTAAAAAGAAAAGTATGGAACGAACAAAAGAATCCTTCCTTTAAGGACAAGTTTTTCTGATTTGAAATAAGGCGCAAAAGGCTTCACCTAAATCGACACAGTAATTTTCGAGAAATATTGATCACCGATTTGAAAAATGTAGTTTCGAGAAAAACGCGTTTAATGTTTCAAGTCAAGCTTACGCTTACATAAAATGTTCATTTTTTAACGCCTGTAACTCAGTCATTTTTAATTGGATTACCTTGAAACTTGCACAGAATATTCTCGAGATGTTGTACTTAAAGAAAATGTAGAAAGTGAAAAATCGATTTTTTGAAAATTTCTGACCGAGCATGACACCTTAACTAATAATATTTTCTGCGGCTCCGTGATTTCGCATCAGGTTCGTCTGTACAGTTTATTCACTCTCCACGCAGCCCCTCAGCGACGCACTGAATTCGTCTGCACAATCTCATCCTGGTGACCCCTGATGTCGAATCGGGTTCGTCCTCGCTTTTAATCATCTTGGCGGCCCTCTGACATCGTGTCAGATTCGCCAGCGTACCTCACTAACAAACTAATAAACCATATTCCTTAGAAAACCTACTCCGCCGGTCTCGCGCGCTGCTCGCGACCCTGGCTCGGTAACACAATTATGAAGTTGCACAATTCGTAGTTGTTGATAGTAATTCATTGTTATTAAATAGTTTTGTTTTGTAATTTCGGTTAAGAGACTGTATCACAAAAATTACTTAGTGGTGTATAGATATTTTAAGATTGGTTTTGAAACTTATTGGAAACAAATAGGTGATTTCTCCAATATATTTTTAAAACTTAACTGTTCAGTTAGAAAAAACTTGTATTCAATTTTATACAGGATGTTCCAAAATAAGAAGTTGCGTGCATTTGAAGAATAAGAAAATAATTTTCATGTACACCCGTTTCATAAGATTTAATATGTTCTTTGTGATCTGATTTTCTCTCTGTTTGTACTTCTTGGTTAATTCTTGCAATGTCTAAAACTCAAAACTATTCATTACGTTATCTGAAAAAATTAATTAAACCATTTTCGAAATACTATATCTAATTTTTATTCTTTCTGAGATAAAAACTTACACACTACCTAATTAAAACGAGTAATTATTTCAAGTACAATTTATATTTTACTTCAAATTAAATCCGCCGAACCCAAATCTATTACAAATCATCCATCTTCAGTACCATTAGATGTATGCATATACTGCTGTCTGTTCATCAGGATCAGGAGAGGGGTTACAACCAGATAAAAAACAACCACTTAAGACACCATATTATAACAAACTGTGCTCGAGACACACGATTTATTATTAACCTTCGTCCAACTTTAACAACATACAATATAATGTAGTAATAAAAACGTATCAGTTAAAAGTGTAATAATGATAGAGCGACGATCGATTGGAAAAGTGATCGCGTCGTGTTACGCGACCGCCGTTCATCTCCACCACGCGTGCATCCCGATTATGCATCCTCCTCGTTCGCGATCCTCCCTCCAGTCCTGAAAATGCTCTCGCGTGAAAATTCGTTATGGGGGGCTTACGGTTAAAAAGGAAGCAACTCTCGAGAGAGGGACAGAACGTTTCGCGTGTAAGTATCTTTTTTTAGCACCGTTACGCCGATGCGCTTAATTAAATGCTAACATCTATAGTCGCGTAGAAAAACCACACTCTCTCACTCTCTCTCTCTCTCTCTATTGGATTCGATCTTTTTCTCTCACACCCTTTCTCTCTTTGCACCTCTCATAAAAGTCTCTCTCTCTTTTTGTCTCTTTCTATCTATATTTGTAGAATTATATTAGCGTAGAACAGCCTCGCTTCGCGCCAGGACATAAATCGCCCGACCCGTCGCACGCGTGTGTCCCAAGAAACATATATATGTATATCCAATCCCAAAGTGTCGGAAATCCACAACAGCCTCTTCGAACCGGAAACCGCAGACCCCGCTGAACTTCCCCCGATCCGTCGATCCCAGAGCAACGTGTCATACCTCTCTCTGTAACTATTGTTCCGTCTGACTAGGATTGTCGAATCCTCTCCAGGAAGCTCTAGCAGTCCGTAAGAAGAAGTATTCCGAATAATATCGGAAGATCACGAAATAGGAGATCGTATTTAGCCACCAGTATTTTTAATGTTGTTCATTTACCGCGCTTGTCGTGCGAGAAATTCTTCAGCATTGGTTCTTCAATTTATAAGGTCTGTTTTGCAAGAATCTTTAATCAAACGATCCTATTGGTCAATAGGATCGTTTCGGTAGCGATTTACCGATGAAGGGATGCTTCGAAGCTATGATGGTCGGGTCGATGCTACCGGACACTTTTCTCTTTCATTCGGTGTATATTGGCCGAGTGTCCTGTGCGACGAGAGAGATTTCACGCCGATGAAAGGTGGCCCCATGTCCGTGTTCCTCCACTTCCAGTTCCTCGAGATGTTCGACGTGTGGATGCGCCATGGGTCTATGGCAGGGATGATGCTCGAGATAGGGTCCACGGGCAAAACGATCGATCGGGCACACCAGACGACCGTGTGCAATGGTAGTCGGGGACCGGACGGGACTCGACGAGGCGATCCCGCGGGGAGGTGAACACGTGGTGGCGCGAGACACGACGCCGACGGCGACGCGGTGCTCGGAGACGCGGCGACGCGGCACGGTGACTTCAGAGCTCGTCGTGCTTCGGCCCACTGAACTCGTCGTGGGAGATGAAGCCGTTCTTGTCCTTGTCCTCGTGCTGGAAGATCTCCTCGACGAGCTTGTCGTGGTCCTGGAGCAATTTCTTCACCTCCTCGTTCTCGCCGGCGCCGCCCTGTTCCGCCTCGTACACCTGTTTCCTCAGGTATTCGCTCACCTGTGCAGACGATAATACAATACGGTTATTTAATGTTTTCGAAATTACGATTGAGTTTGTAATGATCATTGTGATTTGTTACGAGCCAGGGCTAAGCGGATATGAGAGCCGAGGAAATGGCGAGTTTGGTTTTTTAGAGTTTGTTATGTGGACGAACCCGAGCCTATTTAATCTCAGGGAGCCACTAGGATGGTTTAGATGTCGTGGACGAACCCGTGCCTATTTCATCACAGGGAGCCACTAGGTGGTTGGTAGTCGTGGACGAACCTGTGCCTATTTCATCACAGGGACCCACTAGGATTGTTAGTATGGGCCTCGTAACTTTGAAGAATTCGGTACACTTCGAGCGGTAAAAGTGTGCCTTTGTGGGTTCGCTTCTAGCTGGGAATTTAAATGTTATTCTAGAGTTGAAATGAACAACACTGAATTATAAATATATGAACGTAAAAAGTATATTCAATGAAGTAAAGGTTTTACAAATGGTACTGTAAAGTGTAGTCGCGGAAGCTAATTCCAACGTTCTCGGTTTTCACGCACTGAGAAATGCGGGGATTTGTTATGCAGAGTTTAGCTTACTTTTAGAAATGCTTGATAAGGACTTTAATACTCGATCTCACTAGCTAGACTTCTATTATGATTATGATCCGCGGATGAGCTGTACGCGTCCCTTTTTATATCCGGAAAATCGAGTCTAAAAGTAGTGGGGGACACGCATGTTTCTCAACGGAAACTACTTTTCAAGAAAATCTGGCCACTCCATAATACCCCGTGGGCAATTACGTAATCTAGCCGGATGCAAACCAACTCCCTATAGGGTTCAAAGGTCACGAGAGTGTATTCATACGTAACAGATTCGAGGTTGTACGATGTACAATGACTAAACTCAGTTCCATATAAAAATAACTTCACGCTCGTACGAGTTTTCGACCGATCTGCACAGCCCCCACTACTGTCGACCGATTCGGACGCATGCGATTGCTTGTAGCTCGCTATCTTTGTCGATCTTCTACCAATAAACGTTATTTTTACGTGGAACGGAGTTTAGACAGCGGATTTTATGCATTTCTCGTAAATATGAATGTACAAAACGTAACGCAGTATGAAGTTTCGTAAAGATTAGTATAAATTTTACTTTACGTTGCACCTTATAAAGCTTTTAATGAAGAAGACAAATCTCTGATATAAATTCAGTTCAGTAAAAATTTAATTTTACATAGAGATCCGCAGTCTAGTAATGACGGTACTTGTGAGCAACCATTTTTTTTAACCATTTCGGTTCTATACAGGGTGTTTGGTTACTGAAGTCGGAAACTTTAAGGGGTGGTTGTACATATCAAAACAAAATAAAAATCAAGAATAGCGAAATTGTGTTCGAGGCTTCGTTTTCATGATATTAACTGGTACACATTTGGACCAGAAACGCCTGACACCAGACAATCTGCGTACAGACAGTAAGCGTAAGGCACGACAGTCACAATGCGGAGTGTTTTGAAATAGCCGTTTGGTTACGGAAAATTCATAATTTTGATCATTTTCTATTACTTAGTTGTCGCTTTCATTAAAATATTATTTATTTCTGGAAGTTATTTAAATAGGGCAATATGTACGCAAAAATCTGTAATCTCTACCATCTTTAATGAAACCATTTAACGGTTGATGTTTTTCCTTTTTGTAAACAATTATATTAACAGCAATTTACACTGGTGTCGCCTGAAAAAAATCTGCAAGTCATTCACGAGCGTTGCCGACGTGGTAAAAAAGCAGGTAGTTTTATATCTACTCCCTGTTTACATATTTTTATTACTTTTCTATTCTTTGTGTGGGATTCGAGTAACGTTTCCTTAGTTCGATGGCAGTCGTCAACGCGAGCACATCTACTTGGCACGCAATACCCTTCGACGAAAAGCATCTGTATTTCTTATGAGTACCGAGTATTAACTTAATTTAATATAGTAAGTGTTAGTTTAATTCAACCTCGCCTAGTTAGTACAACTTTTAGTATAGTACTTATTAATTTAATTCATTTATTATAGTGAGTTTTAGATTACTTTAAGTTTAGATTACTTAAGTTTCTTTAGTGTTTATTCTCTGTGTGTGTTAGTATAGTACTTATTAATTTAATTCATATAGTACTTATTAATTTAATTCAGTATAGTACTTATTAATTTAATTCATTTATTATAGTGAGTTTTAGATTACTTTAAGTTTAGATTACTTAAGTTTCTTTAGTGTTTATTCTGTGTGTGTGTATCTGCGTATGCTGTGGTCTTCCTTGAGGAACTGATAGAGTAACTAGATTTAATTTCGCGCAACGTTTCGTACATGCCTTTTTTATGAAGTGTCGCAAGATAATAGTCCAGGCTCGAGTGTAGGTGTTACATATCACATTTTTGGCTACGAGGTAAAAGCATATTTTTTTAGGCGACGCCAGTGTACGCGTCGGTGCTGTCGTACCCTAAGCTTACCGCTTATACGCAGATTGCCTGGTTTCAGGTTTTTCTGGCCCGAATTTGTAACTGTTATTAACTTGAAAACGAAGCCTCCGACACAACTTTGTCATTCTTGATTTTCGTTTTATTTTGACATACTAAGTCACCCCTTGAAGTTTCTTTACTTTTAATGAATGTGTCCCGGATCATATACGGAGTATTTCCCTGTTTGTGGTACATCTCAGCATTGAATATTTTTTAGACAACGCAACGGTATACTTCATGATTTGTTTATATGTTAAATCAAATAGCGCTGGAGATGACCGATTCAAAGAACGCATAAACACGTCCATGGTGTTTACAGTGTATCATTTCTTGGACGTGTTTACACGTTAGTAACATAGGAAGGGCTAAATAATTTTATAGTTTGTTGGATTAGATGAATTAGACGATATGTGTGGTTATTAGATTGTAATGAATGACGTTTTCAAATGATTACAAATTATGTTTAAGTGATGCAAGATCCATTTTAATGGACAAATTCTCCCCACCGAGTTAGACAGTTCTTGATCCCATGTTTAATTATTTTAAGATAGCTGAAATGGAACGCGTTGAGAAACGATATTTATTCTGCAATAATCTAGTAGTGTCACAAGATTATACGAATTTAAATTAAATTTTAAAAGAAGTATCTAAAAATAATTGAAGGATGAAACATAGCTATGTATAGACTACCATTTACTCACAAGGAAAGGTTGCGAACCCGAAAATACTGATATTAGACTATATTTGGAGTAATTTTTTTTTCATGCACGTTTTCACTTTGAAGGGGTGAAATCAGCCCTTAAAGTTTTCGCATTTTTTCATTTCCTTAATATAACTTTGTAACGGTACGAGATAGAGCAAAACTATAAGTACAAAAATTGTTCAGTTTTTTATGATCTATGACGCTACTGAAAGAAAAATTTTCAACGATGCGTCATTTATAAACAAAATGATTTTTTGTTATTTTACATATAAATTCTTAAGAGTAGCAGGCAGAGATAGTCATTGCATGGAACGAAAGTACATTTATCAATAGTTCATTGAATTATGAAAGCATATCATTTTTATAAATTTTTTTATTTGCAAAAACAATTTTCCACTTTTGTACATATACGTATACTTAACACTAGAACTACCAAGCAAGTCAAAATGACTTGTCAATACACTCTTCCAACGACGATTAAAATGTAATAACAATACATTTTCTCAGATCTTCTGCACCTTTTATTACGATATGAAAGTGAAGTAATTGGTTAATTTCTAAATTTCTAAATTTACAAAAGTTTTTCACGTTTATCCACCGATCGAAGCAAATATGCGTTTATCGTCGGTAGTTCTAGTGTTAAGTATATACGTGCTATCTTGTGTCATTCATATATTGTAATTTGCAGCAAGTTTTACATGTGGAATTTTATTAAATGACTTATACAATATTTACAAATCAAAATAAACGAGTACATTGTGGCTTGCTGCGACGCTTTGTCATAACTGTGGCGTTTTCTCTCGCGACGGCATGAGCAACGAGCTAATGGAAAATTCAGTAAATATATTTTTGCATCTGTAAGTGTCTCATGCAGGTAACTGTTGTGAGCATAACATAAAACTGGAATACATTAGAATAGTATTTTTTGCAATATGTTTCACGCTTCTGAAAATTCGTTTCATTATTCGATGTGATCAAGTTAGCTGAGACACCCTGTATAATAAACTTACAATCGTTAATCCGTAATCAATTATCTGCACCAAGATATAATAATTTATTTAGATATATGTACATGGTATAAAAGTGGATATATATCCAACAAACAAACTTTTAAACATTCTGTAGATTTTACATTTACGAATGAAGATATGACACATACACCTACATGTTCCATCTGGGAAGCAACTGCTGTTATTCGTTGTTCATAGCGCAACAAGATTTTATGTTTCAACCATTTCTTCGACATGTTTCACTATCACGGAGAATTTTCGGAAGCGTGAAACATATTGCAAAAAATACTATTCTAATGTATTCCAGTTTTATGTTATGCTCACAACAGTTACCTGCATGAGATACTTACAGATACAAAAATATGTTTACTGAATTTTCCATTAGATCGTTGATCATGCCGTCGCGAGAGAAAACACCACAGTCATGACAATGCGTCGCAGCAACCCGCAATGAACTCGTTTATTTTCATTTTTAAATATTTTATAATGGTAGGGGTGACGACTTCACACTTATCGTGAGCAAATCGACTCACACATATCGAGACATTTCTGTATTTTGTACCGTTACAAAGTTATATTAAGGAAACGAAAAAACACGAAAACTTTGAGGGCTGATTTCACCCCTTCAAAGTGAAAACGTGCATGAAAAGACATAGTTCAATATGCTCATCATTAATGCGCATTTTCATTAAACTTAGAATTTTCGAGTTCAGAACCTTCCCTTGTCAATTATATTTCAAGTAAATATAACTGAGCATTTTCTTATAATACAGCATAGTTTTTAAGTGAATTTATTAAACCATTAATGTAAAAAGGGCAAATTGCTAGAGAGTTTGAAATAAAGAGAACATAGCTTCAAATGAGTTTTTAATATTACATTTTCAAGAAAATTAAACTGTTTTCAACGAATAGAAATGTCCCATTGACGGGGTATTGTTGAAATATTAAAATTCACTTGTATTAAGCGTATGAAAAGATCTAAGGAAATATTGTAGCTCGAAATTACATTGGAGATATACTTTTTTAATTCCTTCTCTTTATTTTAAATACAACACTACAAAACAAAAGTTTTCGGTATTTATTTTGATGTATATAGCAGCACCAATAAAAAAGATTCATAACTATTAAATAAATCTGAGTAATCACACGTTTTCCTTTCGTAATAAAATGTTATAAAACGTTTTTAACAAAAGAATAATTTTTGGTTTTGTTCATGTGAATGGTACACGCTCGACAAGAAATATCTGTTAAATTCGTAACGTTTTTCGGTGATTAAGATGAATGTAGCGCTACACGCGGCGGTGCAAAAAAAATGGAACACGATTGCGTTGCTCGTTACAGTTAAAAAAAATACCGAAAAATCGTTTCGAGCTGCGAGCCAGCCCGCTGGATGCAAAATGTGTAGATGTTAATCCTTTGTACTTGTACGCGCAGATAAACCTGACAACTAGCGACGTCGTGATTGGTCTACTCTTTGATTTGTTGGAAAAAAACCCTTACGAGATGAATCAAACGAGTTGCCAAACCGAATGCTTGTCAAAAAAAGCCTGAGTCGGCTATAGCAATAGTATTGGGACGAAAAAATTCGTCAGACTTTGATTTTGCTTTGATCACAACTTACAGATTACACACCAGGTGTCTCCAAATTAAACATTCAAAGCTTCACAGTACTTTCTACGAATATAAATAGTAAAAATGTTATATAAAAATTCGTTTATAAATGTTTGACTAAAAAATTGTAATAACAATGTTTAACAGGCAGGCAGTTAGGTCTAGAATGGTAAATGAATAAGTCAGTGATATTTATTTAATTTATTTACGGTGACAATAGGAAAAGAAAAATGTTTATTATAACTTGCGTCAATCAGTGTTATACAAGAACGAACATACGTAATCAAATTTGTAATTGAGGTAAGAAAATATTTACACTTTTATAAAAAGAAAATTTTCTGGTTAATAAGAATAAGAAATACCATTATAATAATAAGATCTTTATTTGATCATGGGGAAAATATACAACAAAAAACGAAAAAAGAAGAAGAAAGGGAAATAACTGAGAACCGAAAACAAATAAAAAGAATTATAGTAAAATTAAGTAAAAATGTCACAAGTGATACAAAGACTAGACTGAGCCTAGAAATAGTTACTGTATAACCTAATTTATTTATATAACATCTTGTTTTGTTTCTGAGTATATATACATATTTGGAAATACACTGGTAAGAATGGACTATTTAATTTGAAGACACCCTGTACATTAAAGAAACTATGGAAAACAAGTCACGAGGACAAAACTTTCTAATTTAATTTCTGAGGGTCTTCTATCGGCTATAATTAAAAACATTAGATCAATAGTAACGTTAACAACATGCATAGAAAATTGTAACACGAACAAATTAATTTAACAAGAGTTATAAATACTGTTCGTAATTGATCCAATTGTTAGTTGAAATTTTGGAAGCCATGCCTGGTTAGAGACATTCAGAATTTATGTATAGTACGTGTAAGATTGTTAGAACATTTGTTTATCTTTCACGTAAATCTTTTATCTACTACCATCACCAGGAATGACCCTTAGAAAAAAATTAAAAATGATCTTGCCATTGCTCTCACCTCCTCGCGAGACAATTGGTTGTCGCGGTCGCTGTCGATCTCTTTGAATACATTGGCGGTCGGGGGAGAGTTGCTGATGTTGATCAGTTCAACGTCGAACAACAAGGTAGCACCTGAAATCAGAAATGTTCGATCAATTGGTAAATGCTCTGCTTTCTTCGAACTTTTCCTCGAATTAATAGTTTTGTATTAATATTGACAGATGTCAATAATACCGATACAACTATACATATATGTATACATATGTACTGTAATAATTAATTAACAAGAAATTAACTTGTAATGTATATGAAGCTACATATGCAACAATTTTATTTTACATTTTCGATTTGTTCTTGCATGTAATGTCATCTGTTTCTTGACTTTATCGAGAAGAAAACGTCGAAAGAACATTATTATGAATTTTATTTTATTTTGATCTATAGATTCATGTGTTCAGTCTGGGTGGTACAATTATCATTTCGTGGTAGTACCATTTTTATGTACATTCCCCAATTTTTTCTTGCATTTCTTTATACAGTGATGTAACTATGATACAGATGACATTAAAGTGAGAAATAATTGAATACGTACAGTCACGTCGAATACATCTTATGTTTAGGATAGACATTTCACACGTTAATAATCGATTGCAATCGATTCGCCAACAAAAAAAATCGAATAAAGTTTGTACAGACGTTCTTCCCGAAGGTAACAATTCCTGCTTCCTTAAATTCAACACGACCACCCGTTAATTACACGTTGCAACTCTCACGTTCCAAATAGCACCACCGTGCAATGAAGCATTAAATTAAACAATTTATTTCTCGCTAATTGCTCAGTAATCGCGTTCCTTGTCGATGCAGAATTATATCAAAAAAGAATGGTCTACGTCACTCCGAACTTGGATTATTATTTTAGTCGCACCTTACCCGTATTTTGCCTATATTTTCAACAACGAATAACTGAAACAAAGCCTCGAACACAACCTCCTCATTTGCGACTTTCCTCTAACAATTAATTTGATATGCAGAATCCATCCTGTAAAAGTGTCGCACATTTTTATGAACCCCCATATAGATTCTTTACATCTATAGAAACAAATACCGATTTCGTAAAGAAATAGTGGATTACTTATTGGTACACCTAATAACAGTCTTTTCACTATGATCTTTCGATGATCCAGTAAACAAAACTGGTAAATCGTGAGAGGACCACTTCGAGTCCAATTTTCATACAACTATAGCCGAAAATTCAGTGTAAAATTGATTAAAACGGCATGGGAGACGATGAAAAACCAATTGGAAATAGTACTTCGATACCTTATGGTCTACTATTTGTGGTTAATATCGCGTAAACGGTACCGAGGATATATCGAGACTGAAGAGACATGGAGGGGGACAGGGGAGGGGCTTCTCTCCAACGTTCCTGATTTTCCATTATGTTTCAGTGATCCGTGGAGCAGGACGACACGCGACGACCGCATTGATTGCTCGAAACCCAATAAAAATCCAATACGTCTCTGTCAGTGCTGACGAAAGACGATTGCCGCGGCTTTTCTATTATTTGCCCGTCGACTATCCATACGGCCCTGCCGCACGAACCCCCCCCCCCCCCCTCCCGTGTTCTCCACCCTTCGTCAATAACGTATGACGGACCTCTTGCCACTGACATTTACTACCAATCATGATTCCTTCTGTACGAGCGAACGTTGAAGGGAAATATCGACGATAATTGGGTGATCTTTTTTTTTTTATTGAACGAAATCGAGGAATGATCGACGAAGTGATTATTGGACTATGGATTTTATGAATTCATGATGTACATACTGATTGTGTGGGAGACAGTGACGTAAGAACGTTTGCATTAATAAAATATCTCATTTTAGTTTTATGTTAGTGAACCCGTGAACATGATTAACTAGTGATCGATTTTTATATGTCCTATAGTAGTAAAATGTTCATACGTACATGTTCATACGTAATTATTGAATTGAGCTGTGTTGTCATATTATTTGTTATACTAAAGATATCGGTTTATACTATCAAATTAATAATGTTGTAAATGTTACGAATACTGCCATTTACATGAAACAACTGATATAATTGATTCCGATGTCGCCGATCACCCGTCAAGGAATTCTATGTATTAATTAATAAAACGAGTTTGGAGTTGTTGCAAACTAATCTATGAAAATGAGAATTTGCATAAATATTTTGTGTCTGATGATCATTTGTGGGTTGTATATAGATTTAATATGATATCATTTAACAATCAATCTTTATACGCTAGATACATTTACATATTATGTACTAAACTGTGGATGTTCATATTACATTCATAGCATCTTCTAATCGGCAAATCGCAGTAGAATAAAGATTTTAATAAAACTGAATATTATTTATATGTTATTACTAATATATTAGTATGTCTATTTATTAAAAATGAGTCTGAACTTAAGATCTATACGATTGCTCGATTAGGAACGTTTGTATTAAAGGTACGTGATAGATACTAAAATAAAATAACCGTGAGTTGGTACATAACGTAGAAAAAAAGTAAATATAGAGCGTAAGTGGTTCTAGATATTCAATATACATCATCGAACATAATGTATACAGATGGAAAGTACAAAAACAAAAACATTCTAATATTAATATGTGTAAAACTTTCTTCCCATTTGTAGCTATAGAATACAACAAATACAGGGTTTTATTGACTACATTTAAGACAGGTCACCTGAATGACTCGCTTGTTTTTGGAGATAGAAGAAAATGCATCAGACTAAACTTATTTGGTATCGAGGGGCTCATAATCTGATGTTACTAATTTATTGGTAGGCGGACGCGTCAAGGAGATATAAAGGTCAACTCTGTTTTGTTAAATGGAACGGTATGGTCTTTCACTTATATTCTGATAGAGTGTTTCAAGGCGAATACAATGACTTATTATGAAGGTCATTCAAGGTCACTCAAGGTTAACTTCAAGAGAAAACTGATTATCTCAAAACATTCTTCGAACACTTCGACGATTTACATGTAACATATTATTTATGTAAATACTCACAGCTAGTACAAGTGTTCAAAATGGCGATATTGAACATGGATACATAGTCAAAAGCGTTGCAATACTGATAATACTGCCTGACAAATTTCATTTGTATCTATTATAGAGCAAACTCTTTTTATATGTTCTTGCATGTTAACTTTGGTTGTTGATTTTTCGCGGTATATTTGTTCGTTTAATTTTCCCCACAAATAAAAATCTTAAGGTCTCAGGTCTGGGGAACGTTCCGGCCATTTGTTACTTCCTGATCGACCGATCCAACGATCTCCACATTTCTTGTTCAGAAATTCTGTAACATTACGTGCTTACAATGTGATTGAATGTGTGTTTATCTGTATGATAATCTGTTTTCTCTTGCAGTTGACCTTGAGTGACTTTGCATGACCTTCATAATAAGTCATTCTATTCGCCTTGAAACACTCTATCAGAATATAAGTAAAAGACCATACCGTTACATTTAACAAAACAGAGTTGACCTTCATATCTCCTTGACGCGTCCACCTACCAATAAATTAGTAACATTAGATTATGAGCCTCTCGATACCAAATAATTTTGGTCTGATACAGTTTCTTCGATCTCCAAAAACAAACCAGTTATTCAGGTGACCTGTTTTAAATGCCCCACCCTATATAATATAAACATACATATAATAGACTGCACATTTCATGTATCTACAGCATACCCAATTGTCTGAAATTCAGTGTACTAAGAGGATTAATAAATTTTAATATGATTTTTATTTTAATCGTATTCAGTAGCACCTTCAATACAGTGAACAAAGTTCTGTTTGTTTTCAGTTTCCGTAAATGAATCCTTGAAGACCGGTATTTGTATAAACATCCGCGGTTTGGTAATAAATATTAACAGTGTATAAATATTTTATATTTTAATGAACCATTGAAGAATTCATACAACCACCAAAGAGAACGAAATTATATTCAGGCGTAAGTTAATACCAAGGCCTTAAGATGTTGGTAATAGCAATACATACTTCAAATGGTATTCGTAACGATACATCGTTGATTGATTAATGCATATCAAGGTTTTGTATACGCTCGAAATATGTATGTACACCGCAGAATTAAATTATATGTATTGAGCATTTAGGTACAAATTTTGTTTCTGGCTACCCGGTAATTAAAATTGTTACTGACTTAAAATAAAGCATTATTAACAGACACGGTACAACGTCGGTTGTCCATTATAAATTTTATTATTTACTTCGAACACTGAAATAAATTTTCGGTATTAATACTACAGGACAATGATAAAATTACACGTGTAGTATAAACTTATTCCAGTATCATTTAAAATAATATTAATCCATTATATTGTTTGGTATTACGGTAATACACAATACTTAAAACTAACATTTTGATAATGCTTTTTAAAAATTGAGGGACTTTTCTATTTGTCAGGTATAATGCAGAATATCAAAAACAAAATAATCTTGACGACACTGACAATTCGAAAACTAGACATGTTTTCAAAAAAGAAATTTTTCTTATTATTATATTTGTTCCTAGATAATATGACATTTTTTCTCGACTCACACAAATATGAAATATTGACCATTTTATTAGGCAATTCAAGTAATTTTCATAGCAAAATACTTGTTTCGCCGTCGTATTAAAATGTTGAACGAGAGAAATCGGATTTGCGATTTTCGAGCTACTTGTGAGCCACTCCGATTAAGGGTTTAACACCGTTTGTGAACCGGGCAATGCAATCGAAAATAAATTCGATTCCATTTTATAAGTAGGACGATTTTCAAGTAATGTGCACTTTCTCGTAAATGTTACTCGTAAAAAGGCTCGTAAATGACTTCTACGCCACATCAATCTGTGTGTGAGACTCTTTACACAAATCATCATTTTTTTATTTCTTTTAACTATCATCGTTAGTTATTTATTAACTTTATTTCATTTATCTTAAATTTTTTATTCATTATGTATCATCGATTGTTATTATGTACTTGCTTTGTCAGTACATACACTAAAACTGCAATGTTTGTGATTATCATTAATCCTTTGCCTTGTAATAGGTACCAAGTCAAACACGTGGCGA